CGCTTGGACATTTGCGTCCAGCGTGTGCCTGCTCTTCACGCGGCCTACAGGACTTTCGCACTCGCCGCGACAGCTGTCCCCACCATCTCTCTATCGCTTCTAGTTCGATATAACCTGCGTATCTGGACCCACCATTTCTCTATCGCCTCTACTTCGATATAATTTGCGTATCTGGCCGAGGAAGGGATACACGGATGGTGTGGACTGAAGGCTGGGGTGTGATGAGAGGGGAGGGTTAGGTCTTGGAGTCGCGCGAGGGAGTGCAATACACTCAGGTGAGTACCAAGTACTGCCGTTCTCTATAGTGGGCATTCTTCTCAGCCCGGCAACGTTTTATTACCGAGGGAATTCTAGTATTGGATTTGCGGTTCCTTGTTCGGCTCGTCCTGGCAGCACCGCTCGAACACGCTCACGACACACGCATAGGCGCCCTACATATCACGCGGCATCGTGTACACGGCATCCTGCGCCCTCAACAACGCCTGCCACTTACCATTTCTCGTCAGGACCGCGTAGATTACCGGTACGCTCTCTACTCGCTCTGATGTTCCCGTGGGCTTGACTGGTCTTGATCGCCACACCAGTCTTATTTCGCTCATCTCCGATCACGTCCTTCCCCATGGCAAACATCCCTCTCCCGGGCCCAGCACACCTCGCGCCGCCTCAATCGCCGCCGTCGGTCAGCACTGAAGCCGTGCCTGAACCGCCTGGGCCTCCTGTCGGGCTTGTGACCGATCTGCCCGTACCGCTGCCGGTCGCACCGCCAATAATCCCGCCGCCAGTATCCTCTTACCCGGATCCAGACGCATTTGGTATGTGACTATTGATTTCTAAGTACGCATCTACTGATCATCTTGCAGACCTCATCCACAGCTTTAAAAGGCTAGCGCCTGTGCTCTCTCGAAACCGCCGCACGAACCCTACTACACCCCAAGCGGGAGGCCACCACGTGGCTCCTGGGCACGAAGCTGAAGGCCACGAGTTACAGGATCTGAACGCCGGACAAGCTCAGGTCACCAACGTCCCTGGCCCAGTGTCTTGGTCATTCGGGTCGCTCGTCCGCGCCGCCTGGGAGAAGTTGCGAGGCTGGATGTGTTTGTGAAATGGGCAGGGAGCTCAGCACACGGTTAAGTATTGTCTCCACTACCATCTTGCTATCGTTGTTATTATTTTTCGCTTTCTTGCTTTCTCATGTAGCTTCTCTAATGTGTTGTGTGCAAATAATGCTGCTCAAATCTGATATCGTGGCTGAATGTGGAATTACTCGCTGTGAATGTACACAAAATTCGGCACTGTGTCTAAAACATCGAGGCACTTGACCAAGGTACGTATTCAATCGAGAGATATTCAGATGAGACCATGCTTATTCAGCCGTGTGTTGAACGCGAAGGCGCTTGATCAGAGCGCGCATTCAATCGGGATCGTGTTTGAACGCGTGGGTACCTGCTCAGTGCTCATTCAGCGTGTTCACGACCCAAGTCTATCTTCTGAACGCGATTCAGGTGCTCAATCATCATATGGTTTCAATCGGGATCGCATGTTTGATCGGGGACCTTGTACTTGATTGGGATCCTTATTCAGAGTGTTCAGAACGGAGCCGCATGTTGAACGCGAAGGCGCTCGATCAGAGTGTGGGATTGTGTTTGAACGCGTGGGTGCGTGTTCAAACGTTCAACATTCACGATCCGAGACTAGATCTTGAACAAGATGGCGCTCAATCAAAATCCGTTTTCGATCAAGATCGCATACTTCATCGGGAACATTGTACCTGAGGCCTGATCGGAACTTGTTCAATTACCTTCGTGATTGATCACTTCGTCGCGCTCGGTCGACGACCCTATTCAGTCGGGTCTCCAGACACGCAGTTCGTGCCACAGGGAGCTCTCATCTACGTACAAGCTACTGTATACAACGTGATACCCGTCTGAAATATTTTCATTAGACTCCATCTGTGCTGAACAGACCGACCCGCTCCTACACCATGCTGAGCCTCGCGACGGGGAATAACCCTGTCGACTCTTATGTGAAGGGGGCTCTATAACATTGGAGAAAGGTTAGAGGTTGGCTGTGACCTTGCTTTAGCTGATCAAGCAAGGGTCGCACCGGCTATTGATGTCCGGCGAGCGCGGACCGATTTGATAATCGGTCGCATCAGTTGTTATCGGGTTTGATAACCCTGGGCGTTTACTGGTGGCGCTCGCTCTTCGTGGCTGCTCCTCGCTGATACTCCCCAAAGTACCGCCGGAAGCGCATTCTTTCGGCCGCAACTCCTTCAAGGTCGCCCATATCGTCAAACCCTCAAGGGAAGGGTCATCTACGGTCTAGAGTCAGCACAGCTTCGCTGAAGTCCATGCCTGTATGTGCCCACACCTATGCGAATGTGATACTCCGCATCGGTACGTTATCTGCGATCTAAGGATAATAACGTCAGTCTCATCTCCTGCAGCGATATACCCGTTCGCTTCCTGCGTCATCAACCTGACTATGATAGGTAGTGTGATACCTGCAACGTCGACGGACGGCATACGGAACGCGAATGTATGCATGTTACTCTCTTTACCAAGGCCCCCAGATCCTAAAGCTACCATCCTCAGGACTATCGCATACTTTTGCTCAGCGACTTCATCTACGGGGGACGTGCCGTAGTATATGCGCTTCTTGCCGCCACAGATCCGGTATGCTCTTGGGGATCCCACATCACCCATAGATAGCTGATGACGTTCATTTCCCAGGCTCTTGTACGTGCAGTTCGCGCGTTTGTCGCTGCATACAAGATGCGTTGGCACCGGGACAACCGTGCAGAGGCTTGTTTGCGAACTGCTAGGTTCGCCCGTTCTGCATTACCTCCACTCCGTCGCGAAGACCTCGTTGTTCGGGTTGAGTTGTCCACGGTCATTGCCAGCGACTACACCGACGGGCGTTCAAGAGCAGACCCAGTCAATGACACGAAAGCTCGGAATAGCAGAATTTGCAGCGACGTTGCCGACATTGAGTCGACGGGTACCAGTAGGAAGAATGGCCAAGATATGGCCTCTGAGAGCGACGGTGGATATGCCAGACGCCACAACGCAGACTTGAACGCGGCGACGGACGTTATGCCCGCTCTAACCCGTGATAGAACGACATCTGCAGTGGCATTCGAGCTCACCTCGCCAATCACACCCGCGCAGAGCTTGAGACGCCGCTGGGAGCTCGCGACTAGAGAACAGGCCGAAGGGGAGGAGTTCATGAGGATCTTATGATCATGAAGCATCGTAGACCTCCAGTGTAACCAGAGGGCCTCTTTACTGAAAGATTGTTGAAGGTCGCATTCCTTCGCGCCAGAAACACGGCTCCTGAACCCAGGAGAGTCGCCGCTGATGACCGCCGGTGACCGAATGACAGTACTGGAAACCGGAAGAGATCCGCAGAGCAGTGAGCTTCGTGCGGTCAGTCAGCGCGTTGAGGTACCTGGTCAAGACTCTGTTGATTCGCGTGGCCTGATCGCGACGTGATACCTTGATAGATAAGGCCCGACACCGCACCTGTTCAGGTGCGGGCGTCATAAGGCGCTGGGAGATTCCCCGAGGCTAGCTCGAGGCGGCGATCCAAACTTAAGGCGGGCAACGGGTAGATGCACAGGTAGATTCATCTTCAAGTATACTTCAATACAAGTGCATACAACGCAATACATAACTAGAAGATACATGAGTCCCACCGATCATTCGATCCTTACACTTTGAAAAGCAATACAGGCTTGGAATCCACCGCCGAATCTTCCACCTCAATGGTTTGAACAGCCCGGTTAAACAAGCTCTTCGCCACACTCTTGACCCTCTCTTTCGTCCAAAAAGAGGTCCCATCGGCTCCAAATGCCCGTGGAAGAGCGTTGGCAATGAAGGTGTCCGGCGCCAAGAGCCCAACACCTTGTTGCTCGTGTAATGTCTCGAGAAGGGAGAGCGTAGCGCCTTCGGGGCGACTACCATTCGGGCTCCACTTGTGGTAGATGCGGACTATAGAGAGCGGTATCCCTGCACGTTCGCGAGAGGCTAGGGCAACTGCAAGGCGCAACCACCAGTCGTGAAACATAACACGCGGGTAATCAATGTGCAAGTTCTCGAGAGATGGAAGACCGGGATCCTGTAACGATCCCAGCAATGGATACAGGGATCCGCCGGGGGCTTCAGCAGAGGTTGAAACCCCATCATAACCACTGACATGTAGAGTATGAACAGCTGTAAACAGAGAGAAGACAGCTTTATTTGCGGTTTGGGATGGGGTGGCCGCGCCATACGAGGGGAGGCGCTCGATGAAGAGATGTGTTATCCGACCGGCGAAGGGGAAGAGTGCCCTGAGCCTCGTTTTGATGACGTGTTCGAGATCAGAGGTGTCATTGGGATACATTGAGAACCTCAATGTCATCCCTGGACAGCTTGGATCGCTCCTGCGCGCCATGGGCCAAGTCGACACGACAATGTGAACGCCATTCCGGGCGTCTCTGAAAGAGACGTATACGGCATCGGTCTGTATGGTGTGAGCGAAGATGCTCATTCCATCGAGCATTAGGCTTGAGTTCATAAAGTTCGGGTCGTCACAGTTGACTTCAACTCGACGCAGACTATCCTTGGAGGTTGAAGCCAGATGTGCGAGCAGACCACATAGGGTTCGACGGGCGGCACCCTTTCCGGAGATTCTGAGATCACGGAGGTCGGGGAAATGTAATGAGATGCCTCGCGACCGAAGGTGAAGAATATCATCTCCCCGCCCATACGCTACAAGATCGGTATCGACGCCATCATGTCTGGCCATAGCCGTCCTCAACAGGGACTCTTCGTACAATTCGATGCTGAGCTGTGTGAGGCGCGGCATCGATGCAAGTAGAAATGGAATCTCCCTGCAATTCGCGCTGGGCCACCGAAAATCAAGGATGCGTAACGAGGACGCCTGATGCGTGAACGTGGCAGGAGTGAGGCATTTGGCCTGGTAGAGGTTCGGTGCAAGTAGGGTGATACGGCAACCATCCAGACTAGCGCAGCGAAGATTGGGCGCATCAACCTGCACGTCCGCAAGGTACCACAGTTCGAGAGACTCGAGGGACGCTAGTCGCCGCCCTTTCAACATTCTCATCTCCTCAATCTCGTCGATTCCAAACTCCGTGCTGCAGATCCTGCGAGCTCGATGGATATTATCTCTGATCAGCTCACAGCGCTGTTGTCGTTGGCCGGGGCTCATCCTTATCACTTTTGGTGAGTCAAAATCGATGTTCAGCGACTGGTCCCCAGCGCGACGGAGGAATTCGACCATAGCAGAGTTGGTGAGTGCACACACGTCATTCGCCCAAAGGCTGTGCATGTCGAGCGAGGCAGCCCTCCAGAGACGACAGACATGGCTGACTCTGACCCATCCTAAAGTATAGGTGCAGCTGGTAGACGAATACTGTCGCTGTGCGTTGGGATCGTGTCTTTTGCAAAAACATAGAGTGGGTCGTTCATCATTGGCGACGAGCGAAAAGATGATGAAAAGGACATCGAAAAGCAGTCTTTGCGCCGGCGAAAGACCGAGTGGTACGATGAGGGGTCCTGTTTGCATATGAGTTACTTATGTCAAGAAGATGACGAGCCGGACGATGGATGGCTGAGGCAAAGAGCATGACACCGCGTCGCTGATGGTCGATAGGGGCTCAAGTGGCCCGACACGTGAATTTACGCGATGACGAGTTTACGCCTGGTTCAGACCCCAGCAGACGGCGGACGCGCTGGACAGTCGCACACGAGCTCTTGAGCCGAACTTCCATGGCGTCCGCACATCAGCGGTCAGCGTCGCAGCCTGTGATACCGATCAAGTCGACCGCGCCACCCGAGGTCTCGACCTCATACGCTGGCTCATCCATTGGGGGAGCACCCACCCTCTTCCAGTTCGTGCATACCGTTCCCGCGCCCCTGACTTCCGCGTTGGTCGGGCTATCTCCATGTTTGGCTACTATTCGGCATGGACTGCAAGTGCTCAGTTGGAAAGCCGGCTGGGAAGAGAGTTGGCTGCTTCTCGGTGCTTGGTGGGCTGCATGTCTGACTCTTGATGCCAGTTTACGGTAAGAACGTGTTTACGAAGAGCATGGCCAGTTCTGAATATATGCTATCCAGATATCTACTGCCAGTGCTATTCCTGGTTGGTCTGGCTTTGGCGAGGAATCGAGCAAGACGCATACATGCCGAACATCCGCTCACGGAGATTGCTCTACAAAGCGCCGTCTCTGACCTCAATGTCGTGCAAAACTTGCTCCCCACACTCCCCTCTCTACCGGCAACACCACTCCCAAATCTTCTTCGCGCGTCAGCTATCATATATGTCCCCTACATCCTCTTCACCTACCTCGTCCCCCTTCGCGTCATCCTCGGCCTGGCCGGCACGATCCTTCTTACATATCGTGCAAACTGGGCATCCTACCTCCGCCGCACACTATGGCGAAGCGCATGGGTCCGCTGGACTACATATCGGATCTGGTCCTATCTTTCCGGCTTCCCCTTCCCGGACACGCTCCCTCCAGCCCCCATACACGCAGAGGCCATCTCGGGAGAACCGATCGCCCGTTTACGCTTCTTGTTCACGATCTACGAGAACCAGCGCTGGTGGATGGGCCTGGACTGGACAGCTGCTCTACTACCCAACGAGCGTCCATCATGGTGCGGACCCGCCCCAGGGCTTGCGCCTGTACCTCCACCCAGCGCGTTCGCACTCCCTGAACCCTCCGCGTCATATATCAGCGATGGCCGTGGCGGGCGCTTGAAGCGCACAGCAGTTTGGACGTGGGAGGAGCCGGAATGGAAGGTGCTCGTGCGACGCGAAGGGGACACCGTCTCTGGTCGCGAAGTGCGTACTGTACCTACGCAACGTGAAGACGGTTCGGCGGCGCAGAGGTTGCGCAAGCTCATGGATGCGGGCGCGGCTTCGGTGGGAACCTCCGGTGCCACGGTTAGTCCGTCTACGGCTACTGTGGATTTGAAACCAGAGCATGAAGAGAAGGAAGAGGTGCCCGTTGAGGATGAGGTCACAGACGCTGACGGCTGGGTGTATGGCGATAACAAGTGGGAAAGTCGATCGGCCAAGGGCGGGATGGGGAAGGTATTCATCCGTACAACGTACATCAGAGCCGTGCTAATGCCTTCATCTAGTACACTCGCTATCGAAGATGGACCCGTATCGCTGTGCTACAGGAGATTGTCGAGCCCGTGGAACCTGGTCCATTGGGCGTTCTGCGAGAAGAGGATCCCGTTGCGATGACCGACGAGCCCGAGAAGCTTGATCATGCACCCGCCCGCACGCCATCCCCCGAGGCGACAAGAAGGAAACGGGCATCCGACTCTCCCCAATCGTCTATTCGTAGCGTCTCGCCGGACGATCAGCGAACAGGGAGGTTGCGTGCTCGTCTCCAGGCAGCGATAAAAGGACAGTCTACTTCATGACCGAATACACATATCGGCCTGCTTGCTCTGCGGATACCCTCGTCTTCCTTGCTTTCTGCTTTCGGGATCGGTAATTACTCTACCCAGGCATATTTAGTGTTGTACAGTAGCGCACAAAAATGTAACTTGCACATGAATACGCAGCCGTGATGACGTACGGAGATCATCGCTTGATCATCGCCACAGCGAGTTCTCAGGCGCGTCGACCTCACTGCCGGATATACGCCTCGCTTGATCACCACCACCACTACCCCCGCCACATAAACTTCGAAATCTGCACATGAGTCGCTCTACACATCTATTACCAAGTGGTCCGTGACAGAATATATCACGCGGTAGTCTGCGTACCGACTGACTGAACGTGCTCAGGCTATCTACTGCCTTCAATCCACGCTGCCGAGCCATTCTTCGCGTCAGCACCTTGAATCGCAGACACCGTTGTGCGGGCGCTGACGAGCTCCAGACAGCAGCCGAACCCGCAGACACAAGCTGTCGCGTTGAATCACTGGACACGTCTGATCCTTGGGTACGCTAGGCATCGGAAGCTATTCTTTCTTCGTGTGGAGGACGCGGACGCACCAGAGGGAGAGTGGGCGGAGGTGTTGAGGAACGACAGGATAAAGCGTGAGTGTCTGATGTTTTCTTTTGATTCTCTCGGTACGCCAGGGCAGAGATCTCATGTGCTCGTCTTCCGACAGGGAAAGTGAAGGGCACGTATCTTGAACAGATCCTTGCACACCTGGTCGCCCAGGGCGCAGCTGCATACGAACCGCCGAAGCAAACACGCTCCGTGTTGTTGTACTGGCGCAAACCAGAGGAATGGGCCGAAGTACTACATGAATGGGTATGCGCCCCTTCACCTACATGCACGCACGCGACCTGATGACCATTCGCGAACAGGCGGTGAACACCGGCCAGATCAATACGATCTTGACGTTCTACGAGATCACGGAGCCACCGATCGAGTCGCCGTTGTCAGGGATGCCTGCTACGTTACTCAAGACGGCAATTGGGATCCTCGCGAAGACGGGCAGGGCGCAAACGATAGCGATTCCCGACGGCGAGGGCGTGCGGTTCTTCGCACAAAGGAAATAAGCAGTGCCGAAGAGCGATCAGAAACTTGCTTGCCGCCGTTCTCCATCGTCAAGCTCGGAATTCACTCGGATGCATATGGATATCGAAAGCGACGAGATCATGGTTACTCTACAATGTGGGGAGTAATATACACTTCATGACTGTGGTAATGTACAACGCCTCTACGCCATGGTAGTCGGCCGTCTCTAGGACCAGGATAATGATACAACAGATTAAGAGGTTGAGGCATGGAGCAGAAGCATAGGCGACATGCGACATACAAATTAACGTCCGAGAGGATGATGTAGGTGCAAAGAACAGGGACTCATAGCGAGATAAAGCATTGAGGAAAGGAAATGATGGGCCGACGAGAAAACAAAACGAAGTGAACGAAAACGAAGCAGAGCTCAGGAATCTTACTATAACTGCTAACGGACTGGATGGGGTGTGGCACTGGCTACTCCTCTTTGGTGGCAGTGTACACAAGGAAGCGCCGGAGAGGCACAAGCGTGCGATTCCTGTTTAGCTCATACGCATCACCGGGAGCCCATCGTGAGTATGAACTCGGTTCCGCGTATGAACTACCGAAGTACGAGCTCGGTCGAGGTGTGACATCCGAGTCGAATGAATAGGAGCGCTCGAGCGTCCTGCGGCTAGAGAAGGAATGTGTCTCCGCGCCAGCGGAGTTCGTGCGCTCGAAGGCCCTGCGCATAGAGCCGACCATCGAGTTTGTGTCGCCACCATCCGAGCGGCGAGGTCCGGGACGTGATCGTGCAATGATAGCATCAGCATCGTCATCGAAGGCCGCGCCGAGGCGGTTGCGCCAGAGAAAGCGGCGCTCAAGGAAGGTCTTGTAGTCCCAGAACGCCTCGTCGAGATCCTTGGGTTGGACAAGAGGTGAACCCTCGGCGTCAAGCTTTTGAGAGACAAAGGAGTAGATGAACTCCTCGCACTCAACAAGCACGTCGGGTCCGTGCAACGCATAGCGTGTGTCGAGAGAGAGACGGTGGCGAGCATAAGGGTCCGAGTCAACATTCAGCCTGGATTGCAGTATGACGCACTCCTCGCGTGGTACTGCGCCAAAGAATTTGGACGTCTTCTTGCTAGGCAAGGACGCACATAGTTCGTGAGACAAAGGCTTCGCGACGTAGGAACCGAAAGCGTCTTGTAGGGTTTGATGGATATGCCCTCCCCGGGAGTCGAAGCCGACCTCCTGTAGCGCACAACGAAAGATGGTCTCGAGATCCTGAGCGTTACGCTGCAACCTCGCGTCCGTGCTTTGCGGCTCATCCTCGTCCGCGCTGTCTTCTGGCTCGTCATCATCATCCTGCGAATCATCTGAGCGCGATTCCTCGAGCGCGACCAGGTCCTCGTCAATGAGCTCAAGGCGACCGCCAACCTGCAAGACACGATGGACCTCGCGTAACAGCTTCTTCCATTGTTGCGCACGAACGCGGAATTGACAGTTTGCAACCCGTACGTAGTCGAAAGTGTTGTCACCGAAAGGTAGTCCTTCAGATAAGCTATCCCAGCGACTGAGCCGTGTCGCCCTTACGAAAACAAAGGAAGCGATGCTTACAAGTCACAGTTAGTGAACTCAACATTTGCCGGTTTGGTCCTCTTGTTAGGTTCCGCGTCCGTGTGTGCATGAACGTCGACTCCCCGAACCTCTGAGAACGGCCATGCCGTCGCTGCTTGAATTGACCAGTCTCCGGACTCACACCCTATTTCCAGGATCATCTCTGGCGTCTGATGCCAACTCAAGAATGAGGGGGATGTGGAAGGAATTATGTGCGACAGGACATCGTTCGTTTCGCGATTGCTGTAGGTAACCGTTCAATACGACGTCCAAAGTGTAGTCCGGAGATACGCACAGCTCTAGTAACCCGCCGCAGCCCTCAAACGGAACTTGAGCGTGAGCTTCCGGACTCGTCGGCGTTTCAGCCTCCGGAGACGGGCGCCTCTCTTCCTCCGCATCGGCAACAACAACAACAACGTCCTTCCCGTTCTCTTCTTCGGAGTCGCCGGAGTCCGACGAAGCGTATGCGGTAGTGCCGGACAGCGAGTGTTCACTGTTGGCGGAGGTGGAGCAGGCGCTCTCGACGCTCGAACGGTCGCCGGGGCGGGTGCTGAATGCCGCAAACTTGCGCTGCAGGGCGTTGAATGACCCATGGTGGCGCAGTACGCGCTTCAAGTATGTCTGGCTCTTGCTCTGGAAATCGGGTGGATAGGACGGGAGTGGGAGCGTGGCAACTGATGACGACGGTCCTGCGATGGCATCTTCGGGAACGTCGAGTGGCGGTGGAGTGGCCTTTGAGCGGCGCGAACGGACGGACATGGTGTTCCAATTATGACCGGAAGGGGCGAGGAAGTCGAGGACGGGCGGGACGCTCAGGCGGCGATGGGCGTTGCGGACGGAGCAGAATAAATCGGACGGGGGAGGCTCCCGAGGGTCTTGAACGTCGAGAAAGGAGACACGGCGGGCGGCGCGAGAAGTAGGTGCGGTCCAGTCCGAGACAGCAGGGGTAGTTTCTTCCTCGGGCTCGGGTTCGAATTGGCCGCCGGCCTGGGGCCAAAGGAAGAGTGAGCGGACGCGGGAAAGTCGCCGTTCGCGAGGAGTGGCCAGGTTCTGGCTTCTGTGCGCCATAGCTCTGCTTTATTGTGCCACGATTCAGGGATCCAAAGACGATTGTGGCCCTAGCCGCGAGGAGGCTCGACAAAGAGACGAGCTACTTGGGAACAAAGGGGTCGATTATCACACCGATGCTTCCGAGTGATTCAGATCCGAGTACACAAGACGCTCCAGATGTACTTTTCTGCTGTCGATAAGATCGTACAGCTGGCGCGAAGCACGGGCGACTCCGTTTGCCTAGCAGAGGGGAGGCAGGGCGCGAGAGGCAGGAAGGCGAGGCGGGGATAGATGGAGAATTGATGCTTATAGGATATCAGCATCTGTGGGTACATGCGGTGCCCAGACGCTGGGAGCGCAACAGATGTATGTGCGTAAGCGCCCCATCCCAACGCCGAAAGCAGCAGCAGCGCGCAACAAGCTCAATCGCCCGCAACAACTGATCCTCGCCCGCCTCGCTCGCGTTTCGGCACCTCCATATCACCCTCCCCACGCTCCATCAAACCCCTGAGCGGCGGACATCGCACCGCTTCTCTTGCCCAAAAGAAGTTTCCTGCCTTACGCCCTATGGCGTAGTCCGCCGTGTTCTAATGTGTCAAAGCGGAAAGGGATACATAACGGGAACAAGGGCGCCCCGCTTGACGCCATAAGGTCAGATGCAATTGCAAGAGCATATGGACGCAGAACCAGCCATGTCCATGTATACAGAGCACAAGGATATTCCCACACGTTCCTGCATCCTGTCGAGAGCAGTGATGCATAGTGCGATCAGTCCTCGTCTTTGGCCGGCGGAGGACCGCAAGGCTGCAGCATGCGCTATTAAAATCGGCGCTCCGTCAGCTATCCGAAAGTGCGCAGGTGTAAATACTCGGGCTTGCCTCCGTGAGTTCAAATTTAACACGGCCCGTGGCCTCACCGTCCGCAATGGATACGTAGGAAAGAAGCGACGGGTGGCCGACGATCGAAGATAGCGTGTCGCGGTGCTGGTGCGTGAGCCAGTCGCTGACGAGTTGTGTTAGCCACAGAGTTTGTAGTGAGCAGCCTGGATGTACGTACTACTTGCTCAAGTCGGCATGACCTAATGGAAAACCAATGTCAGAGGAGGCTAGACTTCGACCGCACATGTATTTACGCACCTGTGCCGGTGTACCGTGCGTGGACTATTTGTAGGTTGAGGTCAGTCACCGCACGGTGCACGCGTTGGGGGTGGTAACTCACGGTGCTCAAGCTGCGTGTTCGCCGTGTAACGTAACTCGGAAGACTAGTCGTACGTGAAGTGAGCCGGCTGTCTCGCAAGAACTCGGCTTGAAGGTGACATACCATGGTCAAGTTGCGCGTAACCACGACGCGTCTCGCGCGGTGGCGCGAACCGGTACCCGGGGAATGCCCCTATCTTGCATGCATCTCTATCGCGAACAGCCATCATCTGCTTTCATCGCGCTTCCGAGGCTTGGATAGACGGTCGCCCCGCTTCTGCCGCACGATGAAAACGCCAGCTTCTACACACACGCCAAGATTACCTCCTGAAATCTTGTTGATTATCTTCCCGCTCGTGGTCGAAATCGACCGTCCCAGAATATGCTCCTGCGCCAACCACGGTCCTGACCGTTCCGACACAGGCAATTGTTGCGGAGCATACCCAGGTTGTGCTCACGATGGTCCACGGTCCGGTGATTCTCTTCCAGTGCCTACTGCCTGTGTGTACAACATGGGTTGGCTCAGACTCAGCCACGTATGTAGCCTTTGGAGAGCTCTGCTACTTCGAGCTCGAGAACTCTGGGGGAGAGACCTTTGTGCGCTGAACAACTGCGCCATGAAAGCCTTTTTTCATCGAGCCGAAGGACTACCGGTGGACATGGACTTCAATACCCTCTACGGAGAACACCTACGCCGCATAGGATCTCGACGCAGGCGCAGGGAGTTTTTCTTGTCAATTCTGGATAGCGCTCGTAGAATCCAGGGAGGCCACTCGCGCGAAGGGCTCTTTTTAGGCTCACACAAGCATAACCTGCCCTACCTCGAGGTTCTAGAGTTTACGGGATCAGACGCAAAAGTTCTGACCACACCATACCTCCTCGAAGCCGTGCTGGACGGCCATATCACTTTGCTCGCACCGAGACTACTCAAGGCCAGCCTTACTGGACCCTTTCCGCCACAATCACTCTTGTTGCGCAGCTTGGGGTTGAGATGGACGGTCTCCAGATGCGCGGAGCTGCCCACCCTACTCGCAACCTTGTCATGCCTCAAAGAGTTCTCTCTTCACTTAGAGGACACCAGGCTCCCTGGAAGCGTCGATACGCAGCGAGAAGGACAGACGCGAGCCGCATTGCTACCGGCTCTGTCCGAACTGCGAGTGATCGGGTATGGCGCCGCGCATCACAGCATCTGCGAGCTCTTGGACCAACTTGCCGCATCTTCAGCGCATAGCTTGAGACGATTCGAAGTCGGCTGTACTCACGCGGCCCTTGCTCAGTCAAACCATGCGCTCAACGCCCTGAGGACCGCCGCGCATGCCATTCAAGCGGACAGCGCATACATCCACTTCAGAGACGTTCCTAGTGGAGTCATCGCAGTGATATCGCTCTCGAGTCAGAAGTTCAGACACGACCAGCAACGTTGTCCCTTTGTCACCTTCAAAGCCACCATCGCGGAAGGTTTCGACCTCTCAGTTGACGAACTTGTTCGCACGAGACTCGTAACCCTCCTCCCTCTCGATCACGTCACGCATCTATACCTGGACTGTGTACCCATGCCCGAGCCGTCCCCGTATGCGCAGCCCGCCTTCATCTCGGCAATGAAGCAGCTCACATCAGTACGCATACTTCACGCCAACGACAACGACCGATACCCTGGCCTACTCCATTCTATGCCGGAGTCGCATCCTCTGGTAGGAGCACTGGAGGCACCCAGATGCCTTCCAGCCCTCGAGGTTTTGGACGTCTCCTACTCTACCGGCATGTTTCGGGACTGGTGGACCCGGCTTGCCATAGCGCTAGCCATCCGCAGTCGTACCGGGATGCCGCTTACCTCGCTACGTATCACTCATACGTGGGGCCCGAATGTGCGACGGCCCGAGAGCGCCGCGCGCTCACCTCTGGAGACGTTCCACAAGAATCCAAATGTCAACCCCCACGATCCAGATGCCTTCATCTTGAATAGTCCTCCAGATGCGTTCAGTGTCGACGGGGGTTCTGTGTGGGCGAAGGAGAAAGTGGAGTCCGTGGCGAGGAGTCTGTTCGGGCAGGTCGTCCAGAAGATAGAGGTGGAAGAGGCATCGAGGATCCAATCATTCTGGCCTCCTGTTCTGTAGGATGCGTTTTACTTTTGTGTGATCTAGTGACGTTCTGTCGCACTATGTGATCCAAAATGTACCAGGACATTATTCAGTCAACTAGTGTTTAGATGAGACATCCATCTCATATCTTTCATGGACGTTGCGAGGTATCGTGAAGCCACTCGGAGGTAGTATCACACGCGGAGATATGTGGGTGTCGTTGATCACTTGTTATGGAGTAACAGCTGTAGGAAAGCTTCTCCATACGAGACACTGCAGGATAGGACGAGAGCAGTCCACACCTGCCACTGCGGATGATAATCAAGGCTTGCTTCGAGTCAATACATACGCAATATGAACTCTCTTGCAGTATGGCCCCTCTTTGAATACTATCTGTACGTGCTATGGGTTGGTTTCTTTCAAGTATCGAGCCAGAATGGGCCAAGACGCGTGGCGCGTCTTCCGACGGTTATCCGGGCCGCGGATTCGCCCCTATCTCACGCGGTTCAGACGCCTTTGTGTTGCCGACGTCCATCAAAGGGACCACTTGCCTTTCACCACTACCAGGATCGCTCCGCTGCGCTTCGTGTCACTTCTGCTCTGATTCTGAGCCACGCAGTGACCTATTTGCGCGAGAAACCTTCTGTGGCGGGTCGTGTTCGAAGATGGATCCGGATGCACTAGCTTATCCCGCACCTACCCCCAGATTACCCCACGATATCCTATTCATCGTGTTCGCACTGGTCGCCGAGGATGACCGCCCCCGGGTATGCTCTTGTGAAGTACACGGCCCCGCCAAGTGGCAGCTGGATGCGGCATATAACTGCCTCCAACACGGATCGAGATGTAGACGCAGTTGCGCGCAGAGGATGGAACCCAGGCCCGCTCCCTCGACATGCGTATACAACATGGGATGGCTCAGGATAGGCCATGTATGTCGCCTGTGGAGGACCGTACTATTACAGTCGGGTAACCTCTGGGCGAATGACCTCTGTACGCTCAATAACGCGGCCATGCATGCTTTCCTCGAGCGCGCCGGCGGACGATCGTTGAACATCAATTTCAATTCCGTACACACAGAACACGTACGACGCGAGGAATCGCGTCAATTACGCCGCTGTATTCTGTTTGAGAACACGCACAGAGCTCGAGTGCTCTGCGTCAATTCCGCACGCGACGGGTTCATGGCGAACAGAGACGAGGGCACGCTTCTCTCTGTCGAAGTACTTGACTTCTCGACCCCACATGCGAAACGATTACACACGCCGAACCTTCTTCAGGCTAATCTTGTCGGTCCTATCACCTTACACGCCCCCAAACTACTTCGAACCAGCGTAACTGGGCCGCTACCCCAATCTTCTTTGTTGCGAAGCTTGGAGCTTCGCTGGCCGCTCTCCAGATGTGTGGAGATTCCAGTCGCTCTGTCAAGACTCCCGTGTCTCGAAGAGTTTGCTCTGGATCTGGTACAATCGTTCACGACGAACCAAGTCAACATTGTGGATTCGGTGCTCGACCAGGGTACCTTGTCGTTCCCTGCACTTACGACGTTGCGGGTCTCCGGTTACGACGTTATTCATCCGCTGGTTTGTCAAATATTGACACGCCTCATCGCGACCTCGGATGGCACTCTGAAGCAGATCGAGATTGCCTGCACGGATGCGGATCTTACTGGATCAGACCTCGCACTCAAGGTTGTGAAGTCCGCCGCACACGCCATCGAGGTGGATAGTGTATTCATCCACTTCAAAGAGGTGTATGGCCGCATCTCGGCCACCATGTCACTCTCGCGCCAGGAGCTCAGAAACGAACCGGGACTCAATCCTTGCGTCACCTTGAGATTCACCTTGACCGGGCGATACCGTGGACCTACCGTGGAAGAACAAGTGAACACGAATGTGATGCCCCTTCTACCCCTCGATCGTATCACGCACCTATTCCTCGGTTGCATACCCATGTCTGGATCGTGTGCGAGTACCGAGTCTGCGTTCATCGCAGCCTTCAAGCACCTCACATTCGTGCATACGCTACACGCCAGCGACAACGACCGAGACCCATCCAAGCACTCGTTCCTGCCGATAACACATCCTCTCGTCGGAGAAGTGATGGGACGTCGATGTTTACCTGCTTTGAAGACCATGAACGTCTACTACACAACGTACATGTTCAGGGATTGGTGGACTCGACTTGCGACCGCAGTCGCTATGCGTCGTCGTACGGGCATGCCGCTCAGCTCGCTGCGCATCTCGTACAAGTGGGGTTCAAACGTCCAACGCCCCAAGGGTGCTGCGCGCTCGTTGCTGGAAACATTCCACGAGCTACCGGACGAGAATTGGCATCACGATCCGGATTCATTTGTGTTGAAATGCCCTGCAGACGCCTTCAATGTCGACGGAGTCCGCGTGTGGGCAAAGGAGAAGGTTGAGAGCGTGGCAAAGAGCCTGTTCGCGGAAGTTATCGAGGGGATCGAGGTCGAAGAGGCATCAGGATTTCGGGCTTTCTGGCCTCCCAAGTCATAAGCGGAATTCACGTTCGGATCAAATGTGTCACTCCTTATGAGTAGAAGTCGACGAGACAGCTCTCAGTCCATATTACACCAAGTCATTTCTCATAGACAAACGAATTCCAGAGGTATCGTAGGGTTGTCCGGGAATTATATTACATACAGAGGTATCAATGTTGTTACAGGAGTTCCATAAAGTCCGGATCAAAAGGCTAGTCCATTTCAGAGAAGGCAGAATAGTAAGACGTATGGGTTGACGCTCGTGCGGTCAGGGCAGGTCGCGTGTGCTCGACGTGAATTGAATTGAGGCCTCGGACGGAGTCAAGCGTAGCGAGATCTGGGGGTGAGCCCACCTCTGGCGTGAGTGATCGTATGGGTGTGCCGGCCGTCGGCGTCGCGGAATACGAATAATCAGGGGACGGCGAGGGTGATGGTGAAAGCGAGCGGTTATCTGATTTGCGCGTTTCGGCGACGTCCAGGCGCGCGGCAATAGCGTTGAGTTTGTCGAGTAGGGTATCATGGAGGCGCGATTTGTACATCGGACTGACCGCCGCCAGCAGATCGTCGATCGTCTCGTAGACTGGCTTCCGCTTCAGGAAAGAAGCGCGCTTCTGGGCCACAAGCTGTCAAGTGGCGGTCAATGTTGGCAGACGAGGGTAACAGAGCACCGAATCCACACACCCTGAAACCCTCCTTCGACAACTTGACTTCTACTGTCTTGCCCTCCAAAAGGACCACAGACGCCTTTGCATCGTTGGGAGTAGAGTCGAGCATGAACGCGTCTTCCACTCCAAAGCGCTGCTCTTCGAGCGCCGCCCGCAGCTCTCGCTCGTAAAAGCTATTGATCTTGTTCATATACGAGCCATGCGAGTCGTCTCGCGCCAGTTTCTGCGACGAGGCAGGCATGAGGTATGGCGAGCCAGCGGCTGTAAGTGGTGGTTTGGAGTGCGAGGGTTGCGGGGCAACAGGTTGGAGTGCGATGTCATAACTTGTCTCAGCACGTGTGGCGACACCATCATTCCCGACGCCTCAAGCCTGTCGATTATCTCTACATCTTGTCTTCTGCTATCATGGCTACCACCACCCGTTCAAAGACGGCAACTCCCATGTCAAGGGACTCGAAGAGCCGCCTGTCTCGCTCTGTGAGCGAAGTGACGCCCCGATCTGGATCTAAAGCCTCGTCTTCCGCTGCCTCTCCGACGTCTCCGAGTTCGCGCCCGCCCAAGCGTCCTCTCCCGCGCACAAAGGTTCAGGCTCTCGAATCCTTTGTCAAATTTGGTCTCAAGGGGAAGGAGAAAGAGAAGCCGCCCGAGTTTCCGCCCAAAGAGTGGTTCGACAAGCCGGGCGCCTCACGCGCTGCTAGCTCCAATAGCGTCCCCACCGTCATCCGCGCCTCCAGCCCTGGCCCTGCCGATTCGAACATAGACAATGTACTGGAAGAAACGTGGTCACAGTCTGGCTCTGCCGATATTGCTCGAAGAATGACCACTGCAAACACCATCTCGCCTGCGGAAACCGCTGCAGCGCAAGTGCAACATGTCACCGCCGAGCGCCGCAGCGTGTCCGCGCCTGAGACACCTGCGGCTGAGGACCCTCCGACGCCCCCAGAGCCCATGACTCTCGCAAAGCGCATACAGGCAATGTTATCGCGCGCACCACCAGCCCCGTCCACTCCATCCGACGCTACCGCCAGTACCGAGGATGTCCCCGTCGCACCTCCCGCTCCATCACTTCCTGCCGCAGACCGAAGTCTTATCGACATGCTCACGAACGCGAATATCATGAACGGGAAGACAGCAGGCCAGGGTGTGTTCGCGATGCTCGATCGCCTGCGCCTGCGACCGTCTGCGCCCTCTGACACAACCGATACAACCGCGGACTCCGGAGACGCAAACAACAAGACGAAGGAGCCGTCGCACAAGGATGAGGACAACGACGAGGACGATGATAGCACGGGCGTCATGCTGTATGGTCCCCTTGAGCCAGATGAGTTGTCCGAGGTTGAGCTTGCACGGTCAGACGTCATGTCTACGTATGATGATGGAGAGACGATCGAGTACGAGCGCCCCGCTCAGCGCTTATCTATGGCGAAGTCGCCTGGGCCCTCGCCTCTTGCGTTGCCGCAAGAAACCGTACCCTCAACCGATAAGACTGGGAAGGGGAAGGGGAAGGAGGAGAGCGAGTCTACGCCACCCACAGCGCAGGAGAGCGTTGCCGAAGTCGGCGACAAGGAGGCGAATGGGAAGAATAAGGATGGAAAGTCGTGGTTTGGAACTCTTCGCGAGCGCATTGTCGAAGGCAGCAAGACTGTTTCGGATAATGTGGTACAGGGAACGGACTACGTCTCTGCTGCATCCCGCGACGCCATCACGAAGATGACTGCACCACGCCCGCCGACCGACCGCGAGCCAGTACGCACACGCGTGCGCTGGTTGCCCTCTCCCGATAAGGTCTCTTTCCAAGCGACTTGGTGGGGCTACAGACTATATCTCCCGCCGCCGGTTCTCGACGTGCTGAACAACAAGCGCTTGGAGGCTGCTAAGCGCGCAGCGATCGTCACCACTGCATTGCAGTGGATGCTCGGACACGTCCCAGTCACGCTCGTCCCGCCACAGTTTCGCCCAGGGCTCATCCTTGCTCAAAGGCTCGTTCCGTACCTTGGCTACGTTGGCGCCTTCGTTGCTTGGAGCTGGGGCGCAATGAAGTCCTTCGACAAGGGTAAGCCCCTTCCCTGACCCATGGTTCGCATCGTAGCTTAACTCATTCTACAGGTTATGGCATCGTACTCACCGCTACCTGGCTACTACCCGTTGCCCTCATTCCTGGGACCTGGGAATTGAACGAGATCCCACCTCGTTCACCACCTGCGCGGGATGACGTCACCATCACTAGTTCCGCAGGTGCATCGTCAACCGCGGTCAACTCACGCCCGTCCGCCTCTACACTCCAGTCGCGCGGATCCACGACCTCAGGCACTACGCTAGTGCCCTCTGCCAGTGGCAACGTCGCTGGCATGTAGACCCATGCGTTCTCTGGCACTGCGATATAAGTATCTTGCTTCGCTCACATATACCTGCTGTTTGGGACTGTATACTTCGGATAGACCCTTCTGTACTACTAAGGCTGGTGGATATCATGACGAATGCTCTCTTGTGTTGTACGGATATGCCTCAGATGCATTGCTTGTGTGTGTGCTTGTGGATCGCAGATGCATACATGAAGTTGTTGTACGCAGGATCTAGACCCCTTCTTCCTTCATGTTGCTGTACATTTCGAGATTGCATGTGTAATAGTATATGGCATACGTCGTCCTGTGACAATCCTACGCTCCGTGGCCCTGCATACACTGTCAAGCGTCTACATTGCCTCGGCCGGAACCCCTTCTACCTCGTCACGCCTCGTAGCTAGTTTGACATCGCGTCCAAACGAGCCATATTACTCCAGTGGCGGGATGTCATCATCATGAACCTTGATCGGTTCGAATGGCGTAGTTGGAGTCCTGATGGGCAACGGTGCTGGGAGGGGGAGGATGCGCCATGAAAATGTATCTGGTCCGGAGGAGGCCCGGGGGTGCAAGACGGACGGGGTGACAGCGTGAGGTAGACCGCCAGATGACTGGTTCGGGGGACATCAAGCCCGTGTACGAAGAGGTAAGAGGTTTATAGCAGGGTCATTCGTGCTAATAGCGACGACGACGACAACTCCTGTAGGGTATATACCCTGTAAAAGAGTTGGGTTAGCGGAGTACGATCAATCCCAGTGTGCGTTGACCAACCGCAAGCTGAGGAAGGATATGGCTGAATACATATCGTACATTCACGTTCACGATGAAAAGGACTAGTAGAATGGCCTTTGAGGAAGCTCGTTAGTAGCAGCCCATCCCGGAGATTGATGGCGACGCACAATCATACAGCAGTAGAGTACACCTGAGCAGATCAATGTCACGAAGAACTGTTTGAGAGATCCACCAAAAACACTCATACGTTCGGCCTTGTGTTGCATCCTATCGTCGCTTTTAGAGTCAATAGCCAACGCATACATGGCCCTTTCATACCCTCGCGTGGTGTATTCGTACGCAAAGACGAGCGTAGAGATGACATTAGTAGCGAGGACCAATGACAGCCAAGCACCAGGCCAACTACGCAGACTGGGGCTCTGAACTTGACCGGCGATAACATCTACACCATCACAGGTCGAGAGCATCCCTATTCCTGTAACTCGAGATGTGTGCGAGTTAGCCTTCCGCTCTATCCACGCGGATGAATCGCCTACCGAGGGAAGCTAAGAGAAAGAGACTGGGAAATATGTAGAGAATGATTCTCGTGCAACCGGGTGTCGAGCAAGACGAAGGGCGCGTACGTCCTATGATGGTTTCCATCCTGAATGCGGTGTACAGTATTATAAGATCCCCCAGGAGGCACTATCTCCGCCCTGTATCAGTCTATATCAAATCTTAAGCGACAGCGACTGACGTTGACGACCCCTAGTAGTAGTTTGCTGTATTCGTATCGCTCGCGGCTTCGATGTTTGGAGACCATCTCCACGTCAGTCGATGTTGACGCTTGTCGGAGGAAGATTGCAGAGTGTGTTGTACCAACACAGAACATCATGATTGTAAGGCAGATGAGCAGCACTTTAGGGCGTTTGGCACGGCGCAGGTTCGAATCTTTGGCATTAATGTCACGACTAGACGAGTATGTGAGTCGAGGGAGAGTGTCCGAGTCCAAGATAGCTTACCCGAGCTTGAGCATGCATAACGCGAATAATGGGCAGTATATCCCGTATGTCAGAGTTTCAGCGTAGAGAGCAGCAAAGTAGACGCCTGTCGGCTCCTGCGATACACTGATGTGATTCATCCTTGTATGCCACAAATCACAGTCAAGGTATCCTTGATTTTATAGTCAGAACAAGCGCTCAGTGTGTGACTTCAACTCACGCCACCGGGCTCCTCCACCTGGTACTACATGTCACGGACGGAATGAGGATGATTCATCGCATCCAGACGGTGCTCCAGTTGTGTTGTATCAGGATGGACTTCTACCCGGAGTCTACAATAGACTGCAAGGAACGAAGGCGGCGTTGGTTAGATACATCTACGACTGGCCTCGGCGGCCACATTCCCCACGCTCTAGGTTGGATTGATAGCCACAGTGTCACAGCCTGTTGTGATGCCTGATGCGCTTATTCCTGATATCAAAGACACGGAAAATGATGGAGGACAGGCTAGGACAGGACCTGAACATGAGGGAGAAAGAAGAAGT